AAAATTTTCTGATTAAAAATGCATCCTTATTTTATTATTTAAAGATTTCTGAAGGGTAATATTTTGATTCGGTTAAAAAATATTTGTACTTAAAGATTTTATAGCAATTCCGCGCGAAAAATGTTCTTTCCCTATAAGAAATATATGGAAAACTTCAAAGCCCGGCGGCACAATTAAATTTTAACCGATTTCAAAATAGAACTAATTGGGTGTTCTTATTTTCGATATTCTTCAGTTCTAGGGGTGGCTGGAAAAATAATTTGGACCACCCTTGTGTGGATATGTACACAGCTGCCGAGGTGCATTCGTTTAAGTACTCGAACACACATTCATACATACGCATTTACCCTGCGGGAAATGTATCTAACTCTAAGTTAACTCGACGGTGTTTAGGAAGAACTAAAGGTCGCTGTTATCTGCATATTTTCTTTGGGGAAAGCTAACTATATTTCTATGGCGATTGCCGCGAAATAGTGAAGGGTGGTTACCTCTGCGTTAGATGTCAACTAACTTATAACTAACTACTTTTGGACATAAAATATCGAAAAGAAAAACAAAATATTTTTTTGTTGTTTTACTTTTTTATTTATTTACTTTATTTTATTACATTTACATATGCTGTTGCAGGTGGTCCTCTATTCGAACTCCGTCAGACATATGTAACTTCAAAATGATAATATAAAATTTCGAACTTCCTCTTATTTATTCTCAGTTCGAAAAAGTATTTGTGAAGTACAGAAAGAAAGTGAATTCAAAGTAAAATTTGAATGAGGATATGAAAATCGAAACTTGTTTAAAGAAAACCATCTCGCGATTACGTCTGCATTACCGCTGCATTATTTTTCAACTAGTTTCAAGTTAGCTTTTTATAGTTAACTACAAGTTCCCGCAAATAAAGCTAACTACAAGTTGGTTCTTATCAATTGGTTTTTTTTTCCTGCAGGCCATATTTGCATAACGCAACAGTGCGAATACCTCTACATATAAAATTATTGTTTATTTGCTTATTACACTTTAATTTATGGTAGAAAGAAAGCGTTAATTTGTCTGCGTGTTCGTGCGTGCATGTGTGCGCATATGGGGATTTGTTAAGACACATTTTAATGAATCAAAGCGCGGCTCGTCGCTGCGTGGGAGTTATACAAGCATTTCCATAACAATGCTACAACTGTCAGAAACGCGTTGACACTTCGACTATTTGTTTAAATGCTTAAAACATTAATGTTTAATTACTTTTCGCTCGCTCTTTATATAAAACTTTAATTATACAATTCATGGCGAAAAAACAAACAGCTGCAGCTGCAACACAAATGCGCTCGCGCCTTACATGCATACATACGTACGTAGTGGTGGCTTACCCACGATCACTGCTGGTAATCTATTGCATTTTTTTTTGTTATAAATGTATTAATCTCATTTCCATTATCCATTGGTTATTTATGTGATTTTAAATTAAAATGCGTTAAAGAGCCTCCCTCATTCGAATGTAAATATTTATGTTTTAAGAACATTTATCATACAAATTAAATACTTTGATGTGAAATGAATTGTTGGGGAAATAAAATTAAGGGAAATATACTTTATTTAATTACGCCTTTGCAAAGCTTTGCCATTTCGATTATTCTTGTATTTGACAATAAATTTCATGAAAAATTAATACAACTTAAATAAAATAAACAATTATGGTATTATAACAGTTCTACATAGTGAATTTCATGGAATTAAAGTTGAAGCACAAATAAATGAAAGCCTTAAACACAACACAAACTGTGCGCTTACAGAAAATCGAACAATAACCACTCCAGGAAGGCCAACGCCGCCTTTTTTGCCTGCAAGACGGCTATAGTAAAGGGGGGAAATACAACCATATACAATACACTGAATGTGCACAGCTGTGAGAAGACCCATCCTCTTCTACGGGGTCAACGTATTGTGGCCAGTTTTAAAAAAGAGTTTGCCCAGAGCCAAGTAGGAACGGGTACAGAGGACGGCCCCTCGGCAAGCACTGACAAACCTCCGAGTGTGTATTTTTGCCTTGGAAAGAGCTTCCCATAAAACTATTTACCGCTCGAAGGCCGTGTAAAATTGTAGGTCACAAATTGGATTAGAAATTCGGCCAAACACATAGCAAAAGTGTAAATGCCAAATATTTGTTCCTGTAATTTCCGACCAAATACTGTAAATGTGACGGATACTAGAACAGGTCTAATGTTTAGTTACGAATGACTAGACTAGCTGACAATCAATTCGACTGGAGCTGAAAGCTGTGCTCAACGTCATTATGGGTAACCGTGGAAATTTGACTCCCAAAATTACACGTCGGGTGTCAAAAATATTTGTTTGACGAACTATGAAACATATACACATGTAGACTAATATAGTTTAGCGTTAAATTTTTCCTTCAAATTGGGTACATTTTAAAAATTTTATTTACCATCACTGCAACAGTTATGTAAGAATGTAAGTAAAGTATGAACCGAGGCATACATATGAAAGTGTCAAAAAATATTCTGCTTGTTTAAATATCATAGTATTTAGTCTAAAATCCGAATAAGGCACGACCTTCACCTATCTGTTTAATGGCTGAAATCTATTTTGTATGAAATTTAACGTGTTAGGAAATATTTCGCGAGTGGGTTAGCTGAAAAAAGATCCTGGCCAGGATATTTTTAGTTAAATAATTTTTTTTAATTTTGAACTACTTTGTTTAATAAACAAATTATATACCAATCGAAAGTACGAAGCCTATAGAATGTGAAAACGTTGGGTTATCTATTTTTTCCTGGTCTACTTATAGGTTTGGCAGGTATGAACAGGTATCTAATACAGTAATTTTCGCTCATCTCTTTAACACATTCCTGAAACAAACGTGCGAAAATTAAAAAAATAACTATAATAATTTTTTAATATTTAATTAAAAATATCCTGGCCAGAACAAATATTAGTATAGCTTAGAGCTGCAAAACTATCGATGGTTGGACCATTCGATATTTTCGATAGTTTTGGGCCTCACCATTCGATAGTGTCGATACTATCGGTAAGAGAAAAAATATGAGATCCTTACTACGGCATTATTTATATTGAATATTAGTAGAAAAGGCCGAAATGTTAGTTTTAATCTCCATTTTAGTGTCATTTATTAAAAATAACAGAATTACAAAACAACAAGTTGCAAGTCCAAATGTTTAACAATTTACAATATTGAGGAAAATTCGAGTTTTTCGAGTCATCAAAATTTTGCGTCAAAAATCAACGTTTTCGGCCGCTATCGGCAATTTTTGGATCTGTTTTGTATGAAAGCTGTACTAAATATTTATCTGATCGCAAAAATTGTGTCAAATTCGGATTTCTAGTAACGAATTCTTCAATACGAATTTTCAGAGCCATCAAAAATCGTAAAATTTCGCTCACAAACGGATTCCGCCTAAAACCCAGAATTTCATGTAACTCTATTATATTTATGCACCTAACCTCAAAATATGACTTTCGCCACTGCGTACCCGAATTGAGTTAACTAGGTAGTTCGTCGGCTTGTAAACAAAAAGTTTCATTTTCGTGCACAGGGCAATTGTGCTGCTGGGTTAGGGGAACGTTCCAAAAGCTGCTTTCCTATCACTTCTTTTTAATAAAAGAAAAGCAAGGTTTCACATGAAACAAAATTTTGACAATTCAGAAATTTTGTGAAAGTATTTACAATATTTAGTATTTTAGAGACCAAATAATTTGAAAAAAAATTCAAATCAGCTGCTCTCCTGCCACTATCTATTCAATATGCCTTGGCATGAACATACAAATATCTCTTGCCTATAAAAATTTTATTTAAATAGGAAATAATAACAAATTAAAAATTCATATTCCCAAACAGTAAAAAAGTGATAATGAGATTTATTTCAATTCAAATTTTTTATTATTTAAACCTTTTTTTTATAATTTTTATTACGCGCGAATACCGCAATAAATATTATAGCTGTAATTAGTAGAAAATCATCACTTTTATTTTAGACATTTGGATTTTAGTAATTATGACTCGCTCATATTTCAAAGCTTAATAAATCACTGGATATTATTAACTTTTTATGCCAAATTAAACACATAGTACATACATATGTAACTAACTAATGCTGTGCATAAATATTTTTTCAGGTTTTGCACAACATTGTACAAGAGTAAAAGTATGTTTTGCGCATTAAAAAAAAATAGAAAAATAAAAAAATATATTAAATTGTTCATTAAAATATTTTTAAAAACATATGTATGCATGTTAATTCAATTATTACATCTTTAATTTACTTAATTTTAATAACGGTCTTGTTTTTCAAGCAATGCACAATTATTATTACACTGATTATTAATTGCGGTTTTTTGTTCAACATTTTATTTTATCATATTTTGCAGGCATGTTAATGAAATTTTCTTTTAATTGCATTTTTCATGCGTTTTTGTTTTCTTTTTTTTTCATTGTAAATTCAATAAAATTAGATGAGAAACATTTATTTTTACTTTACAGTGTATAATCTTAGCAAAATCTACGCTTAAAACTAGAATTAACATTTGTTGTTGTTGTTGTTAGCAGCTTGATGGCGCAAGATAGCGGACGCGTATGAAAGCGATTGTTGCTGGATTGTCGTAATTTGTTGTTTTTTTACTCTTCTTCTTTTTTTTGTAAATATTCAATGACAAGGTGGGCTGATTGCTGCATAAATTTTTGTGATACTGAAACCTTTGCCGGGGACTTTTGCCAGAACTCGCTGCAATTCAAACACCAAAAATTACGAACAGTGGCTGTGGTGCTGCAGTTGATTTTTTTCGACCGATTTTATATTTAAAATTTTTGTAAATTTCTTTTTTTTTAGAGTTTTAGTAAGTCAAAAGTTTTTTATTACATTTAAAATTTATCTCATTTAATACAAAAAATGTTTTAAATTAAAAATTACATTTGTAAACACTCAGTTAAAATTATTTAAAATAACTTGTTTAAACAAATACATTAAACGTGCATACATACATACGTGTATGTACGTATGTACATATGTATTTCAAAGCGCATTAATTAAATTTAAAATCTAAATTGTCCCAATTTCCCTCGCTCATTGTGGTACACACGTAGCGGCGAGTAATTCGAGTTGCCATTTAGCGCTGCGCCAGCGCTGGTGCTACCCTGTCCGGTGCTGCCGGCTCCATTGCCAGTGCCATTGCTGAAATTTTGCGATGCCGAGCCTGAAATCAACTCTTCAATGTGCTGCGATTTGGCAGCGCAACGTGGCGCCAAAAGCAAATTGTAAATGATGAAGTAAACGAGCGCAATAATGCAAGCGGCAATCGCTAACCATTGATGTATGAGCTGTGCCTCCGATTGGGGCACCTTGTCGTCACGCGCCAATCCAATGACGGCGCCCAAGCCCTTGCCTGCAAGGAAGAGTAGAGAAATGTAAATGTGAAATGTGAGATATGAATAGCAAAGCGTAGAAAGTTAGGCGTTTTAGCGGAGTGTATGCGGACAGAGAGCGTCAAGTTCCAGTACTAAATATAAAGTTTTGCTCATAAAATCTACTTTGCTTCACCCAAATATCACCAAAGCCTGCCAAATTATCACTAAAATAAATTCCAACTGCATTCATTAGGGATGTCCTTACTTGAATTATAATTTTATTTTTCAATGCTCAAACCTTCGTGTCTGGGCCTTCATATCGTTTTAAGACAACAAACACTCACAAAAAAGGTAATTTGAATAAATTGGGAAAAACTTTCTCTACAAAATAAAAAACAAAATTGTATTTGTGATTTGATTCTTCGAACAAACAAACAAAAAAATTGTGATTTTTCAACTAAAAATATTTCTTTTATGTCACGCAAGCACGGTTTTCGAGTTCTTTCCAATCTGCGCATGCTAATGAGCTGTTACAGATTACTTGATTTCTGACACCATCAAATACACAAATCGTCGAATTTGCAAATGTCTTGACTGCGCATACAATGAGTTCGAAGGCAATTAGGTCGCTCACGAGTAGCCACGAGAAAGATCCTTAACCGCCTTTTTAGGATCGGAACCATTTTGTGGTCTAACTTGATCGGCTCCGAGAACTCTCTTATACTCTAAGCACAGTAAGTACTGGCGGGCAGTGGGGAGCCATAGACAGGCCATGCTATTCGCCTACCCTTTTAACAGTTCGGGTATTCCTTAATTAAATAAACATTAAATCAGGCTACTCTCTGGAAACCTAACAGGTCACAACCAACTACGATTGCATAGGTACCGAATCGCAGAGCCTGAATTCCCGCTATGCATAGAGTAGAGTAAACTTCCGAACACATATTTTGTGACTGCCCAACCATGGCTGGACAAAGATTACTTCATTTTAAAGCTCCTTGTGAATTTTTCCACCAAGGCCCTTTCAGGGTTCATTAAGGAAGTCGAGTGTTTACTGGGTTAGAGACTCTCCTTTCAGATACAAAATACCTCTCAGATCGCAGTGCCTCTTGTTCTTATATACCCTTGCTGGAGTGACAGTCCTTGCATATCTAGAAGTCTGGGTTGATCTGATTACGGAAACCTAACTCTCAGGGGAACCTTCAACGAGTTGTAAAATATGAATGCAAGGGTGCTTATTATGGGATGGTTTACGCTAGTGGCGCCAGTTTCTCAACTTATTTAAAGGCATTCAACTGTGAAATTTAGTTTAATAAGCAGACTTAATCTCTAAAAGACAAGGTAATTTTTTAAGCTACATTAAAAACCAGGCACATCAGTATTGAACAATTTAAGGTAGCTAAGAAATGCTGCTCCATGAATGATTCGTATGCTACTAAGGAGTAGTTAGTTTGAAAAGGTTTATTTTCCAATATTTATATGCATGCTTATTAGAATTAAATTATTATAAGTAACTAATCGGAGGTATATAAAGAGCTAACATCAATTTTAAGCTTATGAAAAATGGACAACCCTAATGCGCATGCATGCAAGCATGCAATTCTAGGCTACTCACAAATCATCATTCATGAGATTGCAAATCTCATGTCAAGCAGCAGTTAGAGTAATAGTTTAATGCATAGCAATGATGAAGCAACTATGGTGCCTCCAAAACAGCGGTGGCCATGTCGATACCCGCGAGCAGGAGCTTTTACAATGATAGCTTTACTTCGACAATTCAAAGCTTTATTTTCACCGCGAACAAATTACATCAATATTGGCTCTTTACTTGCAGCCAACGTACATGCATTGTTCAGGTTGCTGATCTGCGCTTTCGCTATTGAGTAGATGGATAAATGTTGGCCGCCACTGGTCTGTCGTTAAAGCTGGCGTTAAATTACTGAGTGAGAGGTACAACTGTGCTTCCTGGAGCTCGCATGTAAGTGTTTCACTATTTTGAGAAATAGAGTTGCCAAATAAACTTCCATACAAAGCATAGTAGCCAGCTCGTAAAAAAAAACAAAAAATCTATAGATAAATATACACTGAAGGATGCTCAAGAAATTTAAACGAAATTTTCTTCTATCACAATTTGTTAAATCAGTTTGCTGTTCGCAAGAATGATGCTGGTACACATGTATGCATCTATTTCTTCGAGAAAATTCACAAGTACGGTAAAGTACTATACTTTTTGAAGCGGCAGAATGAAAAATATTTCGCGAGATTTTTCTTGAGAGCTAAATATTAAGCTTACAAGGGGAAAATGTGTTTAGATAAAAAATAATGTTGATTAAATATTACAGACGGCCGCTGTAGCTGAATGGTTAGAGGTGCTTACTACCACTTAGTAGAACCCGGTTTTGATCACTAACCCATGCAACATCTTAATTAGAACAGTTGTGCCTTCGAAATATTTTGTAGAATTTACACTACAAACTTTCTCCACTAGGAATAAAAAAATTAAAAGTAAATAAAATGAAATTAGTTATGCCGAATTTCCACTAGGCATTGAAATGACAAAAAATTTATGCCATTTAAAAAAATGCCAAGTGGAAATGAACTTAATGAAAATTTTTTTTTAATGTAATGACAAGATTATTTTTTAATGCCCGACTTTGCCATTTTTCATTTTTGCCATTTAATGCCTAGTGGAAATCCAGCATTACATAGAAATTTTCTAGAAAGTTTTTAAAAAATTTCAGTTTTTAGAGTGATTTTTTCTCAAAAATGATAAAATACTAATTTATAGTCAGCCAAAGTTAAAAGGCTTAGCAAAGAGAATTCCCAAAAAAAACGCTTACAATTTTTCTCTCAATACACGAAGAATAACTTTTCGGAAAACCACCAGTTTCACTTCCTTACACCTCCATCCAAACCATCTGGCGACTCTGCCCGCACTTACGCTCCTTACCAAAACACTAATCCAACTACTTAGTTACTTACCAATGCCGAAGAAGGCCAACACAGCCACTGCCTGTCCGGTCGCTGTCAACTTCCTGGGCATCGCATGTCGCATATACAGTATAATCGTAATCCACACAACTCCGATGACGACCGGCTCGATAGCCTCCATGACAACGGTCAGCCA